AAATGTTCAAAGCAAAAATTGTTCAAAGTCCAACACCTGTCTCTTATACACATCTAGATGTGTATAAGAGACAGATATTAATTAGTCCAAAGAAAGCAATTTTTTTAGCATCAAATCCTCATTTTTTTTTCACTGTCGGAAGGGTTTTATTTTTAAATTGTTCATTCCTCATTTTTTTTTAAAATTTTAAAAAGTTATTTTTGACCTTAATGATTTTTATGAAACATGGCGATTGCATAAAAGCTATTTAAATTTGTGTTTGTTGTGGTTTTAAAATATTTTAATAAAACATGTCTACATGATTCCACCTACACCACATACTCTGTGCTTAATACTAAAATAGTACTACTTACCCTGCCATACAGTTGCAATGTGCTGCTACTACACTTCCATCTTTTTTCACTACAACCCATGGATGATGTGGCTCATTGTTCAGTCGTTGCGATGGCTTGACGTCTGCCTTCAATAGGACCAATCCGCTTGTTGTGGTTGTATAGAACACTTGTTGTACCCAACCTGACACAAAGTAATTATGTGCTTCAAGAGATTTGTAACTTTTCATTGCTTCCTTTGTGAAGACTCCTGAAAATATAAAACAATTCAATTTATACTTAGGGCTGAAGAAATTTGTGTACGCCTCTGTGTACATTTGCTGTAGTGTAAATGGGTACATTTGAAGAATAGACATTAAAGTTTAATATTTATATATAGGCCTAGGCCCATGGTCCAACGAACTGGGTTTGAAAAGTCAACCTTGAGTTATTTAGGCCTACTCGGCCTTCAGTGTTGAGAGTTAGTTATGCATGGATAGAGCCATTTTGTAAGCCAAGCAATCCCCAAGCAAGGCCTAGCTAGGCTAAGCCTAATTAATTTTCAATTGTTGTCAATGACAATACCTGTAAAATGCCTGTGGTTACTTGTGTTAAATGTTCATTGTTATATTAAGACCTAATAAAATCACAACAATACCTGGTGTTTCAACAAGATAAGAATATATGTCCGGGTATTGGACATCGGGCCATTTTGTTGGGTCATTTTTCCAGCAACCTGCTTCCAATTTGTACGGGCATGACTCCAATCCTGCTGCCTGCAATTTCGCTCCATAACGTTCGCGAGCGACAAGGTTTAGCTTGTCAGAATACTCGTAAGACATTTTGGAAATAATTCCAATAAAAAACAATTGTATAAAAGATTTATTTCACCACAAATCTATAATTTTCGAAAGGTCAAAGCTAACTGCGTAATAAATATCGTTACCAAGCCGTCGTAACACACACTCCAATGTGCGTGGTACGTGTGCTGTTTTCACTCCAGTGGGCCAGACTACGATTCGTTAAACAGGAAGTGACGTGTCACCGACCGATAGAATAGGAAGCAAATGAATGGTATCTCACACCGATCGGAATATGTATTTTCTTGGTTTATTCCATCAAACCGGAGGGTTTTTCCCGACAAACAGCGTATCAATATTTACTTCATACGCATCGATGGTTCGTGTACAATGGGCATCATCAATCGACTAAGGCCAGTGGGGGTGGGAACTCCATCAACCAAACCTGCCTTCCTATTTGACTCGAAAACTTGCACAAATAAAACACTGTCATTGATTTCGCAGAAATCTATAATTTTCCATTTCAAAATGAACCGTCCTTCAAAAGTTGCAGAAACTGAACAAATCATTTTGCAAGCATTTAGACAAAATTTAAAAAACAACAAAAAAAATTGGCCTCGACGCTTGACACGCACAAACCGGAGAACACGTTCTGCAGAAACAGGGTGATAGCCTCACTACAACAGGTGCTTCGCAAACTTCCATCTTTCAATTTTGCAGGCACGCTACATTGTGACGGCTGGTACAACAAACCTAGAGGAGCATCGCTTGTGGTGCTATCTATTAACTTCGGTGAAACCCTCCTCTTGCTTGGTCATTCACAAATTTTTATTGTTATATTCGTTAATTTTTACGATGGTTTTAACGATTTAAATAAAATAATGAATAATGATATTTTTTCATGCGGGGCCTAAATTCAAAGTGGGCGCTCACAAGAAACATAAAATCAACTTTCATTGGCCTTAATAGCAATCAGCAAATTACAAAAGATAAAATACAGATTGAAGTTTAACAAATGTAGAAATATAAAAATATATATAAATATTATATAAAACAATTTGGGAAAAACCTTGGGAAAGAAAATCAATACAGGAACTCGTTATCAACAAGGACACAAACAAAATTATATTATTGTTATTATTATAATTACTTTTATTATTATTTATTATTGTTATTATTATTATATTTATTAATATTATTATGATAACAAGACTTGACAAAGCATACCTTTACAACTTTATTCAACAATACAAGTGTGAGATCAAGCTCTCACACACTGTCATACCTGTCAACCTTGAGAAATTTCAAAGAGTAGGATCAGGTGACACATAATTAATGCCGAAGGCACAAACAGTGGCTGGGGGCCAGTGGGCAACACTTCTTAAATGATTTGACAATTATATCTGGTTTGAAGTCATTCCATATTTCAATAACCCGCTGACACAAAACTGGAAGTGATGCTGCACACATGTTTCCAGTAGGTGTAAACTTTTTCTCCCCGTTCATCATTTAATCATTCCATCGTTTTCTCATTGCATCTTTAAATGATTTATTCAGTGAGACATCAAGTGGCTACAGGATGGATGTCAAGCCTTCAGGAATTACCGCAATGTAGGTGTGTTTACGCCATAACTCTGCCCTAACATTGTCTACTAGGTGACTTCTCAACATGTCCCAAACGAAAAGGAATCTCTCAATTATCACATGCTCTGGTTGGCGTTCCCAAACTCGCGCAATCCATTTTTGGCACCCTCCTTCGTCCAATCCATTTTTGGCACCCTCCTTCGTCCATCCACCATGAAGGTGAATAACGACACCTGGATGAACTTATACTTGGGCATGGTTTTTCATTTACTGTATATCCATCAGCACCTGGGGAAGGCGAGTACAGCGAGTGATACCGTCATGTGTTGTAAATGCCATCCGCAAGAAGTATCCAGACTCTGACGGAAAGTATACTGGTTTAAGTTGAGCATGCTCTCATTGAAAGTCAGTGACAGATCTTCACTAACTAAACAATGCCTAGGGATTATCCAGGTGTTCTCACATTAAATCTTCAGATCCAAAGTAAAGAAGAATGAATTGTTCAAATTAGGTTGTTTAAAAGTACAAATGTTCAAAGCAAAAATTGTTCAAAGTCCAACACCATCATGCTCCACACAGGCTGTCCCACGAATTGTCTTTCTCTATTGATCACATCTCGACAATTCACCCTTTTTCATGGTTTTATTCCCTTTCTCAGAATTGCACCCTTCTGCATACCTACTGTCTTAAGCTGGCGTCACACGGTCAGATTTGTACAAAGGTTTTGGTACAGTTTTTCATTTTTACAGGAGTAGGTAGACACTTGATATTCCCAAGCCACACTGTTAAATTGTTTGATTAAATAACTTGTCAGCCCATAAGAATTTTAGGGACAATCTCTTAGTATTAAGGCCAAGTAAAATTAAGCCACTTGATATGCCAACACCCAGACGTTTTTATTCAATATGGATGTAAATTTGTTAGTTACTGTGTCAGTCTTGTATATTTGGTAAATGAAATGGAAAAGAAAAAGAAAGTTTAGAGATTGAAAAAAAAAACGTACTTGGGTTAGGCTGTGGATTCACAAACGAAATAAATATTTAGCATATCATGGTCTATTAAAAGAGTTGGATGCTGGCAATAAGGGAAAATACAATAACTTTCTCCGAATGGATAAGTCGTCCTTCGATGATATTTTGCAAAAAACTCTTCCTCTTGATATTACTCAATTAAATCTGTGGAAATTTTTTTTGGTATTTTTTTTTGGTATTTTCTTCACTACCAAACTCAAAAAAATGCTGTAGGTCTACTGATACAGGATCTACTATGCAGATCGCTACCATTTCCCAAAGGTCTAAACTTTCTGCGCTGTTGATTTTCAGATGTCGTCAAATACTTGTAGGGCCTGTTTCTACTGACAAAATACAAAAGTACGGTATTCAGTTAAACCGGTTTTCATAATTGTTTATAAACAAAGACCGCATTGCAGTTTAATTTTAACACAAACAGAAACCGGTTTCTCCTAAGGAGGTCGTTGTGCAATGACGTCATTTTTACCCACAGCGAGTTCGTTAGGTGGAAGTGCGATGGAATGTGGAAATTTCCAGGTCAACAGAAATTCATTCAGTCGAATTAATTGCGCGAATATTCGAAATGGTTCGCCAAATACTGTACACAGGTTTGTGTACGGTATTTGGCGATCGAGACCAGATTCAATTGGAGTTTTCAAAACCGGCATTTGAATTCAGGTTTTTTTTTATGGGACCCATTTCCACTGACAAGAAAATACGGATCTTTGACAATACTGGTCTTGAAACCGGAAATCTATTCTCAGCAGAAACAGGCCTGTAGAAAATAGGACATGTTATATTCCTTTCCCATCACTTCGGACACCCAAGGGGACCATAGGTTAAAGCAAAGTTCACAGTAAAATCAGACTTGAGACACAAACCAGGTAAGCCTCATTAATCATTTTTGCACTTGATGAATATTTGAAGTCAAAAACTGAGTGTGATCCCCATCTCTTCCATCACAATTAATAACCACAATGATTCAAGCCCCACAAAAACTCATACCTTCACTTCTTGGACATTGACCTTTAAGGTGTGTAAATGATAATGATTTGACAGTGGTAGCAGTATGTCCTGATCCAAAAGATATCATAATGAACCCCTATTAACCCATTTACAACCAATTTTTTTTTTAAGATTTCGGGTGAGAAAGTACCAAGTCACAAATATATTTGTATCTTTTTTACCTTAACAGCAATATAATAATGTTATATACCAATAGTAGAAAGCTTATAAAATTTCCTTTTCAAATATGTCATTTGTTTTGTGTTACGCCCTATGTTGAGAAAATGAAAAAATTTCGGGGGAAAAAAAATCTACTTTTTTTTTACAGTCAGTGTATAAGGTACTAAACAAAATTGCAGATATCTGCTTTTCTCATTCAACACCAATAACTCCTCTTCAAAACAAGGCCTCACTTGACCTAATTGAGCGAGCGGTTTGGAAAATATGAAGAAATACGTAGAATGACGTGAACATCGAAAAGTGTTATATGTTGAAATAAAAATTATCAACGGAAAAAAGAATTTGCATATTTATTTTTTTTCACTGTCAGTAGATACAAGTATTCAAAAATATTGCATTCATCTACTTCTCTCCATCAGCACCAATAACTCATCTTTAAAACATGACCTCAATTAACCTACTTGAGTAAGCGGTTTGGAAAATTGGCGGCCATTTTAAAAATGGCCGCCAAAAAACATGTTCCGCCCTTTTTCAAGAGGCTCACCCCCACTCATATTTTTATTTATACCCTAGTGATGCCGAATCAGCAGAGAAACCTTGGTCCCCGGAAAATGGTCACGGGGGCCCTGTTTTTCACTATACTACATGGCTTCATCTGCAGCAATGTGTTCAGATTATAATGGCCTGGGTAGGTATCCTTCATGTTGTCAATGAGTGGGCGAAGCTTGAAAAGTCGATCACGATCTGGTCCTAACTGGTCTGGCTCCTGTGTATTGTCGTTGAAGTGAATGTGAACCTATCTGTAGGGCCAGGTATCGGACCCTGAAAGTCATGTACAGGAAATGATGACTCTTGATCCACGGGTCGCCATTTGCGCAGTTCGGCCTCACGCTCCATGCGTTCCCTATCCACCCAGCCAAGCACTCTCCCACGCTGTCTCCCGGGACCGCCTTCCACTTGACCTACTACACCCCAGCTACCAACTCCCCTTCCCCTACCTCTCCCAACTGCTCAAGCCCTAGGCCTTCCCCCCCCCCCATCTCTGCCTACTCCTCTAGCTACGCCTAAGCCTACTCCTCTAGCTACGCCTAAGCCTACTCCTCTAGCTACGCCTAAGCCTACTCCTCTAGCTACGCCTAAGCCTACTCCTCTAGCTACGCCTAAGCCTACTCCTCTAGCTACGCCTAAGCCTACTCCTCTAGCTACGCCTAAGCCTACTCCTCTAGCTACGCCTAAGCCTACTCCTCTAGCTACGCCTAAGCCTACTCCTCTAGCTACGCCTAAGCCTACTCCTCTAGCTACGCCTAAGCCTACTCCTCTAGCTACGCCTAAGCCTACTCCTCTAGCTACGCCTAAGCCTACTCCTCTAGCTACGCCTAAGCCTACTCCTCTAGCTACGCCTAAGCCTACTCCTCTAGCTACGCCTAAGCCTACTCCTCTAGCTACGCCTAAGCCTACTCCTCTAGCTACGCCTAAGCCTACTCCTCTAGCTACGCCTAAGCCTACTCCTCTAGCTACGCCTAAGCCTACTCCTCTAGCTACGCCTAAGCCTACTCCACCTTCAGCTACTCCTGCCCCCCCAATCCCCCACGTCATCACGGAGAGCCCTCCTTCTGTTTGGGGGCTCTCCGCTTCCGAATTTTCTGTGGTACCAGCAAACATCATCCTTCACATGTTTATCGCGTGATGGTGAACGGGATTGCCGGCGAAAATGCTGTTGTCGCCCTCGACTTTCACTTCTGCCCCGAATATGCGTTTGCATTTCCTCCAGTTTACATGTAAGGTGTTGAATTTGCTGTTTCAATTCATGTAAATCGCTGGATTTAGTTGACTCCTCTGTAATAGATAATAAATTAGAAGAAGATGGAGCAGTTGTAGAG